ATATACAAACACTAAAATTCAAAAATGGTATAATGCGTTTGAATGAAATTTGTGAAGGCCTGCCAGTGTATTGTTGCCGCCATTGCCAACGGCTGCCCCCATAGTCCCACTCAGTGCGACGGCGGCGGCCACTGTTCGCGTTCGGCATCGAATCAAAAGCACGACTTGCTTGGCCGACAACCTACCTTTCAGCAACACTGCGCCGACAGGCATGCAGCACAGGTGCCTACAGTTCATCAACACATACTTCGAAAGCTTCAAGACCCCTCCTGCCTGCAAGAACCAGCGACGAGTAACGTGGTGCATCTCTTCCGTCTTGAGAAAGGCCACCAGGTGTGCCTCTTTAGAAAGTTTAGAATCTTTCTCGTGGCTTCTGTCAACTCGCAGAGCTGCTCGGGGCCTGCAAGGAAGGCTTCTTGCGCACGGCCACCTGCGGCTCATAGACCTCAAGACTTGGGCGCGCCAGGTCTGAAATCTCCCGTCAACTTGGCTGCCTTCCTGTGAAACTGGGCCGGGCCGACCCCGAGTATCCAGGTGCATTAGCAGCTTCTTAGCTGTTGGGTTTGGTTTTCGATTGCCAAGTACCACTGAAACCCAAAAAAATCCTAAAACACCCTTAACCCGCCAGGCCGTCTGAAGTTAGCGTGCTTCCCTCTGTGAGCTCCCAGCCAAGGCCTGGCAGTCATCCGACCTCGTCGAGGCTTCAGATGGCTTCGGATTCGGGAGGGAGCCATATATATATATATATAGATAGATATATATACAAATGTATATATACAAATGTATATACATATATATATATGTACACACACACATATATATATATTTGTATATATATATATATTTGTATATATATATGTATACATATATATATATGTATGTATACATATATATATATACACATGCCTATTTTTGTTTACTTAGATATGGATAAAGATATACATACATTCAGACAGACAGACAGACATACATACATACGTACGTAGGTACGTACGTACGTACGTATATGCACACATACATAATCTCACAATACATGCAGATATGTATCTATATATATGTCTATATATATATACACATGCATATACATATACATATTCATGTACATAAGCATATACATATACATATACACATACACATACACATACATATATATATATATAACACAGCATGTTGAGTTCGGGCACAGCACATGCAGACCCTGCAAGGCCACGACACGTCACGAACGTCCTTCTCTTCGTCGGCGAGCCTCACCCATCCTTGCTATCGCACCATGCGAAAGTAGAACACCCTCAAAGACCAAGACCGCGAGTTCGCAACGGATACTCCAAATGCCGAGCATACCGGATTGGACCGCAAGCGTGCCTGCTTTGCTATTTCGACCACCTCTCCAGCCTGGCTGAAATCACAGCGAACACGTCATCTTCTCATTGGCACGCACATCTCACATCACAACACGGCTTGGGGCCCGGCATCGAGGAAGGTGACGGTGGGAGCGCCGGCGCAACGAGTGGCACCATGGTGGCCGTTGGCAGTGAAGGCAACGTTGCCTCCGCTGCCAACGGCCACCATGGTCCCACTCGGCACGTTCCGCAAGACTGTGCTGGCGTGCAGCACAGGTGCCTGCACGGCATTGGATGGGCGAACAC